TGTACTTTTGAGAGAGTGATGTATGTAAGGTGAAGTTGTTTGCATTTTAAACATGCATAGTGGGGAGAATGTTGGCATACCTATATACTACTTTCATGTAATGTGGATGAAATTTCTTTGGATATTGTACTTTTGGAAATTTTAAATGATCTTAAGACACTGCTAACTAAAATGACTGCTCCCTTGTGCTCCAAAAATTAACCTGAATTTGTCTAAAGTACACTATTCTTGGCAGCTATGAAAATATAGAAAATGAATTTTGCCAAACTAAACAATAACAGCTTCTAGAAGTGCAATGAATGAATTACCAAATACATAAAATGTAAAAAAAAAAAGTTATTGGCTCTATTTTTTTTTTTTACAATTTACATCTGAAGTTCAAGAAGTGAAAATGAGTAAGTAGAGCTAGCACTTTTCGGAAAGATGCTCATCTGGAGTAAGGCCAAGCTGTATACTCTCTAACCCATATTACACCCATCAATCATATACAGAAATTTGTATATGGATAAAATTAAACCACAAGACTTGGCATTAAACAAATGCTACAAAAAAAAAAAAAACAAATTCTGACTTCAATGAACTTAAACTAATTTGTGCTTAGTGTATAATCATGGCTTCTAAAAAAATGTCAAGTGTTCATACCTAATTATGTGGCTTGAAGAAAGCTGCACTTGCATAATTCGGCAATTTTAGAGTTATCTTCATAACAGAAGTTTGTGTCTACCAGCAAACTTGAATGACATATAGTGGTTACATCTGAAATTCATTGAAGTGTGAGCTTTAATAACATACAGTAATAAGTGTGTATATTGGTCTCTAATTATAACTTGTGCTTCAGGCTTGTTTAGTAATTTATTTTAGTAATTAGAAATATAACAGTTTGCATGTATCATCATTTTTTATGTAGATTATTTATTCAGATGTATATTGACTTTTTAGTTCTTAAATCAGAGAGGATAAAGTGTGCAATTTTTATTTCAAGCGTTTTCATTTGTAGTTTCACACGTATGAAGAAACGCTGTAAATTTGCATTATATCTAATCGTTTAATTACATTATTCATTATCCTTTTAAAAAATGCTAGTACTTTAAAAGTGTATAATCTTTCTCTTGTTTCTTAATGACCTCACCACGTTAATTGATTAGTGAGTGGATCAACAGTTTCCAGATACTGTATATGTACAGTTATAATATAAAATGATTTGTAATGCTTGTGTTTTTATTATTAATTTCTTCTTTTAGCAAGGGTTAAAATAAAACAAAATTAATAATTAGTTATTTTTATCTCTAGGAATTTATTGGTGGGGAGGTGAGCCACTTGGTTGGCATAAGGTGTTTCCTTTGCTTTTCACACTTAGTCCAAAATTGTTTGAATTGTTTATTTTATGTTGGTGTACTTTATGGCTCACAGGTTTTGTATCAGTCATTGATAAACTCATTGTTCTTGTGCTACCTGGAAAAAAGAGACGGAATAAAAGATTTCCTATTTTTGAGTAAGTGTGTAGTTATGTTATTGATATCTGATGAATTTTGATGCATTTTGTTGCTACAAAGGTTGCATTTTGTAAGTAAATATATTTGTGACTGATCTTGCAGTATGTTTATCTGTTGAACGGACAGCTCTTTCGCGATATTAAAACATAAAGCTCACAAGTTATAATGTTAGTATAGCACATTAAAGCAAAGAGACATAATGGAAATGGTTTGAAATTAACAGTTGCAAAGAGAGATGATTGATATGGTTTCAAGTTGACAATAGCAAGGGGAGATAATGGATACAGTTTGAAATTATTTGCGAGCAAGTAGAGATAATAGATTTGGCTTTAAATTAACACTAGCAAACTCATAACTTGCTAGGTGAAATTGTTCTTTTGGGAACCTGCAAGTGAACAGATTTTGCACTGGCACTTTTGCAAGTTTATTTTTATGTACCTTTTACAAAATATGATGGTTAACCTTTATTTCTATGCACCTTTAACAGAATGGTTTTATCTTCTTAATTTTTTAAGCCTTCTTATTTATTAATTTTACAGTAACAAACCCGGCTAGACTTAGAAATATTTCCAGTACAATTCGTCTGTGTTGTAAGCAGGGGTCACAGCAAAACCATCAGATTTCTGTTAAAACTCCTCACCTTCATTTTTAAAACGACGCTGCAGGAATGACTTGGGCAACAAAAAATGTATTGTTTTAGGCGTGCGTAGGAGTTTCCACCTATAAAAAGTGCATCTACGAGTACTAGGGTGATCAGGGAGCACACTGGACTGTTGAAGAGGAAGGATGTGCTTATCCGAGCTCCGACTACAAGCAGAAAATAAAGAAGACGTAGATGAAATAGAAGAGCGAAAGAGATTTTGCTGCTACGTCATGGAATCATGCACACTAAGAAAAGTTCTTATGAAATTGCCATTATTTCAAGATTGCCAAAATGGTGTTGCAGGATTCTGGGGCAAACATTTCAACAACTTGAACAACCCATACTACCACTACATCAACTAAAAAACTGAGAACCTTAATGAAGATATCAACAGCAGTGGATCAATTGCAATAAACCAGAGAATTATAAAGAAGAAATCAACAGAAATGGAACAATTGCAATGGACCTGGACCTTACACCTTGACGATACTGGAATATGCTGAACAATAATATGTGCCATTTTCATAACGTGATAACGTTATAGGAATTACCATTCTTTCATTAAAACTGATGGTCAGGTACATATATTTTCTTCCTAAAACTAACTAAATTAAGTTGCCCAATTACTCTTTAGTTTCTAATTAATTACCTTTAAACATTTTCTCATAAATTAATTACCCTTTAGATATTATATGGTTAATAGTAATTTTATAGCAGACGACTGTTCATAGAGATAAATCAATCCGTCTCATCCAGGCGCTTTAACTAACATAATTTTTTTCTTACAAATTAAATTTCAAGCTCCTGCTACACATTCAACCCATAAATAACTTACAACTGGCTCGAATACCACAACTAATAAAGATGGGTCTCACCAGTTATTATGAACTTTTTTGAGAGAGTGATGTATGTAAGGTAAAGTTGTTTGCATTTTAAACATGCACAGTGGAGAGAATGTTGGCATACCTATATACTACTTTCATGTAATGTGGATGAAATTTTTTTTGGATATTGTACTTTTGGAAATTTTAAATGATCTTAGGACACTGCTAACTAAAATGACTGCTCCCTTGTGCTCCAAAAATCAACCTAAATTTGTCTAAAGTACACTATTCTTGGCAGCTATTAAAAAATGGAAAATGAATTTTGCCAAACTAGATAATACCAGCTTCTAAAAGTGCAATGACTGAATTACCAAATACATAAAATGTAAAAAAAAAAGTTATTGGCTCTTTTTTTTTACAATTTACCTCTGAAGTTCGAGAAGTGAAAATGAGCAAATAGAGCTAGCACTTTTTTGAAAGGTGCACATCTGGAGTAAGGCCAAGCTGTATACTCTCTAAACCATATTACACCCATTAATCATACATCAAAATAAAGGGAATTAAAGGTTCTTTGAACAATACCTAAGATGTACAAAGTCTCTTTTAAATAGTCAGTATAACTAGTGAGGAAACCCTGGGAAACTTTTTCATTTAATAAGGAAGTTAAGCATAAACTTTTGATATGCTTCAATGAAATAAAGTTTTCTTGTACTTTTAAAATGATAATATATGTTTTATATATAACCCTTTCTATGTATTTAGCTCAAATCAATTGATATTTTGTACCATATTGTACACAAGAAGACATGCTTAATTGATGCTTATGGTTTCATCAACTTTATCAAAGTAATATAAATACTTTTATTTATTATGTGAAATTGATACAAGTTAAGTTGTAATACCGGTAGTTACAAATTAAGTTTTAGAGGTCAGAAAGAAAATAGCTTATTCTTTAGTTGTGTTCTTGATTTTCACAAGAAGTTATTGATTTTATTTGTTTCAGTTCTTAATATGTTACTTCACACAAAATAATAAGGTTTTAACCTTTTGTTATATTTACTTATATGTTATATGCACCTCTTCCCACTTTGTGTAAAACTAATATAGAAAAAATGTGTTTACAGTCGACTGTTCAACAAAACAAAAAAATCTTTAGGTATAAGATGAACTTCATAAAAATATTCTTTGTGCAGGAATTTGGACTAAGTCAAATTTGACCTTTGATGAGACACTTTAGGGTCAAGAACTACATTTTAGATCAGTATGAAGAATTGAGAACAGCTGTATAGCCTTTCCAGTTAATAATAATTTTATTTACCAGAAGGTACTGGATACATTTGATATTACAGTTGCCTGGAAACAAAATCTAAGGAAATTAGCAGTGTAAAATAAGTCATTGGTCGTATAATTTTAATTAGCTACACAAAATGTATTCATCAACAGTGATATTTTTAAGTAAGACTATGATCTTGATAATAAATAAAATTTTACAACTGATCAGTGCACCTTTAAACATTCACATTTTCATACCATGCTGTGGTGTAGCAGTTATGCAAACAGACCCCATGACAGGGAAACCCGGGACAAGAGGGCAACCAAAATTTATATCAAACAACTTATTTTATTAAATTTTGGTGTGGAGAGAGCAGATCATTTCTTTTTATGTCACTGCCCAATGTCCTACTTATCTTATGATGATCTTCTTAAATAAATTTATGTATTGTGCAATTTGCACTCATAGCATGGCCACACTAATGTTACCATCAATGTATGAGCAGCAATATGACTGGATAACAATATGTTGTTGTTGTTGTTTGGATTTTAACATACCTTTAACAATTTTTCAGTCATATTGCTACAATGTCTGCAGTGTGGCAGTTTATAGTGATGTCTAGCACTGGAGCATCATGCCATTGCCATGTAGCATGATGTCCCACCAGTCACATGATCCTGACACAAGGCTAAATAGTCCCTTTTAATCTCTTAATGCTGAGCATCAAATGAGGCAGCTGTTAGTACTATTTTTGTAAGTCTTTGGTATGACTCAGCTGGGGATCAAACTCATGACCTCCCTCATCTGAGGCGGACACTAACACCATTAAGCCACATTAGCAGTACATGTATAACAATATAAAAACAAAATGACTGGATAACAATGTATGTGCAATATGACTAAATAACAATGTATGGAATAAACTTACACAGCATGGCCACAATGAAGTTACCAGCAACAAAAGAGCAATATGACTGGATAACAATGTATGAGCAATAAGATTGGATAACAATGTATAAGCAACATGACTGGATAACTAAGTATGAGCAACATGACTGGATAACAATGTATGAGCAACATGACTGGATAACAATGTATGGAATAAACTTCATAAGCATGTATGAACAAGGTTTTTCCTCTATATTATGTTTGCTCAAAACTTACATGAGCAGACATATCTTTCAAAATATGCACAAAGTAAGTTTTTTACTTGAATTATGTAACTGAATTGGAATACTGCATCATACTACATCAAGTTGAGAACAAAATCTTGGATGTAATTTGTGGCCAATAAGAACTATATTATGAACTACTTTTTTCATTTGGCACAATATTGTGGTGGAAGGAGATGATAGGAACATTGTTGGTCTATCTTTCATAACATGTGGTATAGTTCACCAATGGAAATCAGCAAACTCATCAAGCTATCATGCATTTATATAATTACTTCCTCATTTATTTCTCAGATTGACTGAAATGGCAAAGCAATATTCAATCAATACCTTGTAATTAGATACAGGCATAAAGTAAAAAGCATCCATATTTAATTCTGAATAATTTCACTCTATCTTTTTAAAGTTTCACTGCATAAAATCAGCTTTTTTATTTCCATAACATTGTGATAAATAAAACCTTAAATATGTGATCGTTCTGAAAATGAAATTTGTTGAATACTATCTATTAAATTATTTGTGGGCATACCTTTCTTCACATTTTTTTCAAAAATTTTTTTTTCATCAAAACTTAAAAATGTGGACTGGAGAAAGGATCCTATTGTTGGGACTTAATTTCATAGACTGGAGAAAGGGTTCTACTGAATGGACTTAATTTCATAGACTGGAGAAGGAGTCCTATTATTTTCAGAAAAGTTTGTTCACTTGGTGTTTAAACCTGTGCTTTGCACCAACAACAATATCCTTAAAAATTTTAAAATACGGATTAAACAGTATTTATTTGAATCTTTTGCTCATCATGGCTTGCACAAGATATAAATCATTCAAGTATCATTTTCATAGATTTTATTTCAAATCAGCACACTTATCTTTTTATAAATATAAAATCAAAAGCAAAGATAACTGGAGACTGTCATTTTAAATTTGCTGATAAACTAGTAGTACTTATTATCATAAGTAAGAAATGAGATAAAAGAAAAAGCTAAGTTTTGAAATATTACATAGTTAATTTGCAGTCTTCCTGTACATTTTCTTCCCAGTGCTGACAGTTTTGATGAGTCTAAAGATTTTTGATCATGGCAAGAAAATTAAATTTTTAATCAACTATAAATCATGTAACATTAATCCTGAAATTTTGACCTCCAATATGAAAAAAACCTAATGGACCAGTACAGAACTTATATACCATATTAACAATGAATTAATGTTGTACATTATAGCACAGTTAAGGTTATTTCATATTGTCCGCAAATACATGTCACATTTTACTGACAAAACTTCAGGCTCCTGTATTCAATCACCTTTAAAGGGATAATGAAACAAGTGAGCAGATTCTATAATAAGCTTTTATTCACGTTTTTGGCTAAGCATCCTTAAAAGTTTGGTTTTTATTGGAATTACAACCAGCTTGCTTTGATGATAGTCATGCATACGGTTAACGTTATTGAAGTAGTGTCATAACCCAATTTGGAGGGATCAAATCAAATACCCATTTAATAATGTGACAGCAATATTAATGCCCTGTGGTAAAATGATCAAAATTTGTACATTTATAACAAAATTATGGGTCAAACACTGCAGATATTGTCATAAAACTATTAGAAAAATAAATGATCTGTTCAATTTCGGGACCATATTGCTTCTGTTAAACATATATGTTTACTTTTTTTATCCTGAAATTTAACATGAGCATACAAATTTGGTACAAGTAGTAAAAAACAGACTAGGAGTCTTTGTTTTTCATCGAAATAGGCAGCTTATTGAGATATGTGATGTTGATATTGTGGGTAGGGTCTGTATGAATTATTTTTTCCTGCACACAACCTGAGCAGGGAAGTCTTGTTAGTAGTAGTCCTCTTTCAATCTCCATTCTTGGTTCTGGAATCGCAACATTCAGTGCTGATCAATTGGAAATCAGTTGATTCCGATCTCTTTTGATGGGAAAAGTTTACTGGTATTTGTTACTAAATACATAACATGCCAGTTTCATTCTTAAAAGTAAGAATGATATAGTATATGCAGTTGAAAGTGGTACGTCTATATTAAGTCCAAATTGATGGAGTTTTACTTTGTGAAGCATGAAGATGGAGCAGAGTTAATTATTTTCATATACTGCCAACAACATTTCAACATTAGTCATATCTGAACTGTATGAAATCTTTAAATTAGGAGCACCACCTGTAAGCATTCATTTATTCAACTTGCTGAAACTGAACATTCTCATTATAGTTCTATTTATTCATTTATCTTAATCTTGTAAAATACTAAGCTAATAAACTGACACATGGTTTTCAGGATGATTTTAGAAATAGATTGACTGAAAGAATAATAATAATAAATAATAAAAATTAATAATCAGGACTTTTGATTTTTGCACTGCTGATTTGTGCGGACAAAGCATTAACACCGTAAATGGACGGAGCCTTTTTTTTACTGGCAGTAGTACCTATCAAGCCCATTAACCCTGCAAATAATCATGTCTCCTCCTCTATTCCCACCAATAGGTGTCCCAAATGTGATGCATATTTAGTTTTCTACTAAGATAATCAATTTTCATGGTCAAACTGTAAAGTTACAGTTCTGACAACACTAATGTTATAGTCATCAAGGACAACTCAGTTTTGACCTGGATTCACTCAGAGAATCCTGCAGTGCAGTGTTGAACAAGAGTACCATTTAGTCTCTACTCGATTGCAAAGATGAACACTAATGACACTTGCATTACCTTCAAAACCCTCAATGAAACTACTAAACAGCAGCAAAAAGCATATATGGTTTTGCCATCTAATGGATATTAAAAAGACTATATCTGTATCTTTATTAAATGTCAGCAATGTCCTTGTGATTATTTACAATTGTCTCCACTTATGTTAAGTCTGCCAACTTATTTTTTTCTTTGCAAGTGTATGAATGTTTTTGAAGAAAACAGACAAGTTATGTTCTTTAATTCTGATTTGAAATTCCAATCATTCTCTACAGGTTTATATGAAAATAGTTTATTCTCAATTGGATGACAGTACTTTCTGGATCATGCAATGATAATCGGCCTCCAAACCTTCCAAAAACGCTTTTAGAGTCTTTCAAAGAACCAACATTGTCTGGAATATGGCAGGTATGCATTTAGTTGGCATTTTGAATCAAATGGGAGTTTCTATATTAACAATGTCACCATTTCTGCATGGTACAAGTCTTTTTTCAAGCAACATGTGTGATGTAGTCCACTGTTTTTGATATATTACTAATTCTATACATTTTGCAGTACATCTATTTCAAAACATGTAAATAAAAGTTCTGCCTTTTTTTATTTAGTTCAATTTGTTTGAGAAATACATAGCAAATACTGATGCAGACAAGACATGTTTTACTGAAATGGACTATTCTAGAAACCAGAGAGGACTGAAGCAGTCTTTCTGCTGTTTGCATGAAAAGCTTCTGTTTTTTTGAAACACCATTATGTTGGCAGTGTTAGGGATGCCCTGGTGACATTCTGGTAAGAAATTATAAATTAATGAATTAAATAACTAAGTTTTGTGCATTTTTTTTTATATCCTTGATGCTTTTGTTTTAAAAACCAGTAGGCAGAAAAACCAAAACTGGAAGGTAAGCGATACTATTATCCCCAGTGGCTGCTGTAAGGCAAATTTAACATAAATGAGAGGAAAGTCATCAGCAATCTTCCAAACTCTTAGTAGTATTAGTCTTGTACCACAAATATGGACTCGAGTCTAGTCTAACAGATTAATTAGTTTTATAAACAAGTCTTACAGGTGATGTTTAATTGATTCTTTATGACTTTGCCATAGTTTGCAATAATTTGCATATTAACATGCTTTTCTGCTTACATTCATTGTAAGATCTTTCATTTCAACAGGGTGTCACTGTTTCTGTCAACAACTTTTGTTTTTACCTATAAAAAAAATTCAGTGCTTCTTGACCAAGATTTGCAACAGAAGGACCAATCATAATGCTTTTTTTAAAGATAGGATATTTCTGGAGGAATTTCCATCAGATGTTCAAAATCTACAGCTAGCTGCTCAGGCTCAACTGTTTTTTCCCATACGTGGATACTGGTCTGGCTCTGAAATTATATTTGGAATCAGAAAAAAATTAAACTAATAATTATTTGTTAATTATATTAATTTTTAAATCAGGGAAAACAAACATGACAATTGTGAAAAAGTGTGTTGTAAAAACACTATATCGGTAGACACATACAAGTTTCATCCATATGCAAACAGAGATGCCATCACATAATGTATATTCTAACCATGTTTCTGCTGAATATTATAGTAGTTGACATAGACATTATATAACTCTGAAATATCTGAGAAAAAAGAATATTAGAGTCACAATGACAACAAAATCATTACTGGTACCATTGTCACTGCCAACATAAAAGTAGTATATCTGTTTTGTCATCTGCTATTTGCTGTATGAAGACAGATGCACATTCACAGCAATGTAATTGTTGAACATTCTGTATATATGGTCGCTTATAGCAGTGTTATTTTTTTAACACTGTATGTACTTTAGTCTGGTCTTCAATCACCATATAAATGACCCATACAATTTCAGAAACTGACAGGCAACCTATTTTTATTATGTATTTGTTAAGAACTGTCTTTACATTTTAAGCAGTCATGTTTACAAATTATTGTATAAAGA